ATGTACATTTCATTCAATTCATTCTTCAAATTACATTTCTTCACCGAGCTGTGAGGGTGAATAAGCCTCTTAATCTCAATAAATTAAATTGCCAAAATATTAATAAACACGTACAACGTTGTAAATTATGCTCCGCGAAGCAATTAGAGAAAAGTGAAAAACATAATCCTGTTCATTATTCGAACTACCAGACAACATTGACGAAATCAACCTTTAGCGAGATGGAATAAATCTGACAACCTTCGAAAATGTCTTTCTGGCCTTTCCGTAATATTAGAAAAGGATTCGCGTCGACGCGTGTTCGCAGAGTCAGCCACGCGGCCCACGCGTCTTCCATTTCGCCGTATCGATACTTTCGTTCGCGAAAAGCGGGCGCAGCGCGGCGCGGCGCGACGCCGGTCGCGAGATACAACCGAAACCGCGTCGTCGGGGTACGTGCGCGTCTCTACGTTAGCATTCAGAACGTTTTAGGCTTATTTCGCACGGCCGCGTTTCAAAGAAGAGATTTGCCTCCGTCAGAAGAGCTTTTTTTTCCTCCCTTCCCCCTACCGTGTCTACCCCCGAACGCGCCCGCGCCCGCGCCCGCCCGCCTCCTAATATATGGCATGTGAGAGGGTTGGTTATCTCATCAGAATTGGACTCCTCTAGCAACCAGCTTCGCGTGCACGATCCGGTCGAGAGGACCCTTTGCACCCGATCCTTTGTGGGATTTCGGGGCCGTATAGCCGAGTTATCGATTTCTGTTTCTGTTTCGCCAGCTTCGGCCTGCGGTCGCGAAGCTATTTCTCCGATACGGCCTACTCCTCGATCCCGATATTTTTCGGCCGGGCACTTTCCGACCCGTACTACGCGTCGTTTTTTCGCTAGTCGCGGATTACGTTGCTCCGAATGAGATTTCTAAACTACAAAACGAGAGGTTTTTCCGTTAAAAGGAGAGAGCGTGACGCGCGCGCTCTCATCGATTTATCCGAATTACATGGATAGCACTGGCTCACTTCCGGTCGCGAGATACCGAAATGTTCATCCAGAGCGTACAACTGCTCGGCGATAGACGAGTAGATCACTGTACATTGGCGATGTGCACGCCGTTCCTCGGCGACCTGGATACGGTAGTCGAGCCCCTCTGTTGCTCGTCTTGGAAATGGACGGGGTCCTCCTTGACGACACCGGTGCTCAGGTTCACGACTGTCGTTTGAGGGATCGGGGAGAGCATCGGGGCCACTCGCCACCAATCGGCAGTCGGCCACGCGGCCGGCATCAGGCTCCCCCGGAAGTTTAAGTCCGGGAGAACCGGGAGCGGCCTTCATATGACGTGTCCGCGCTGCGAGCTCGAATTCGAGCTGTTGGAGGTCGACGTCAGGCTCTGAACGGAGAAAGCGCTGTCGACCCTGCCGCTCGACGCCGAGGATAACGAGGACGATGTCGTCGTTGTCGTCGTCGTCGACGATCTCTCCAGTTGTTCCGTGGGCGGCGACGAGGACGAAGAGGAAGAGAAGCGATCCTGGGAACGGTCCTCCTGATGATGATGGTGATGATGATGATGATGTTGATGATGACTCTCCAGATTGGTGGAGAAGTCCACTTCAAGCTTTCGGTATCGGGATTCTTCTCGCTCCGCGACGACGGCGTCGTCGTCGGCCCTCGCCGGGCTCGGAAAGGGTGGGTCGTCCATCTTGGACGACGGAATCGGTCTTTTGGACTCCTTCGGCGGACTCGGGCAGCTACAGTTGGGTTGTAGACAGACGGCTGCCGACAGGCTCGTCGGCCAGGACATCGTTTGGTGGCTCGGATAAAAGGGATTGCCAGTGTAGAGGGCCTGTAAGGCCAGATCGGCGGCCAGCTTGCCGCCGTTGAAGTCGTCGCTCAGTTTGTGCTGTAGCGGATAGAGCGGATAGGCGAACGGCGGAAAGAAGCGCGGGATCTTCAGGTCCTCGTGCGGCATCAGATGATGCGTTGGAGGCGTCAACGACGGCAGAAGACCGCGCGGTAGATTGGTCAAGCTGTCGCCCGGTGATATCAGTGGTGATATCGAGAAGCCGAACTTGTTCTCCTTTTTCACCAGGGACTTCGGTTTCCGGCGCGGCCGGTACTTGTAGTCGGGATGCTCTTTCATGTGAAGAGCTCTGAAAGGTGGATGGTAATTTGTATCATTGTACTGTGAGAT